AATTTTGGATTCATGCCAAGATTGATAAGCATCTAGTCATCTCTTCTGTCATGGGAAAGAAGATGGAAGCAAGAATGAATGTCCAGGACAGCAAGATTGATACTGTTGTCACCATGGTTCAGAAGCAGAATGCAACTTCTGAAAAGATTCAAGCAATGCTGGAAAGCCTGTTCTCACGCATGCCCCCACAACCTTGAAATTTTTTCATGCATGACATTCTCTATATTTTCGTCATTTTCTGATGTACTTTTGACTATGTTTTGACTATGCTTGTGTAATGTTCTTTCCTCTGAACTATTTTTAATATAATTTGTTTTTCTGATCTAAATTGTTTTAGCACATCACTAACACTTTTTGATTGCTGACAAAAAGGGGGAGAACAAGAATGATATTTAAAATCAATAACGGCTAACTAGACAGAAATTCTCAAACATTCTAACTCTATTACTTGAAATGTTTTTCTGTTTTGTTGTTAAGTCTACAGGCACAAGGAAGCTCTGAACACTATGAAGACTAAGAACTAGAAGCTCTGATCAAAATATAAAAGCTCATGTTGCTCTGATCAAATATGAAGTTCTGATATATGAAGATCTGATCGACCTAACACTCTGATCCGAAGCAAAGCTCTGACAGGAAAAGCTCTGAAGCTCTGCTCTCTGATAAGTCAAAGACTTATAATCTGATGCTCAAAGATAGAAAAAGATCTGACTCTGAAGAACACACATATCAAAGGGAAGTAACAAACTCAGGGGGAGTATCTCTTAACTCTGACTTCTCCGTACTTCTTATTCTGATACATAGATCTGATAACTTTTCACGTTATTTTTCATTTAAAATATCTAGTTTTTGTCATCATCAAAAAGGGGGAGATTGTTAGAACAATGTTTGAATCTAGTACCCTATATTTAAGTTTTGATGATAACAAAGTGAAAAGATATAGTAGTTAAATATTTTATGATTGAATTATATGCTGCCTAAAATTACTATGCTCTGACTTGCAGATATGCTGATTAAAATAAGCAAGATCACGTTTTCAGCATCAGAATATGAGTTTGCACATCAGCATCAGAAGTTGCTGAATCAGAACGTCAAGATCAGATGATCAACGCTTGCACATGCTGAAGCTTGATGAACAGAACTGCGCGTAAAACACTCTGATACAGAAACAAATTAGTTCATCAGCAGCGAAGCAGAATCAGAATGAGCCAAGCCAGATCGTGCATTGAAGAAGCAACGGTACTGTGCATTGAAAGCTAATCAATACCAACGGCATCATTCTAGACAAGATCTGCTCAAAAAGGAAAGCTTGTTAATAGCATTGAATCAAGAATATTTGCTTCAACGTTCATCTTCTCAAAGTGCTATATAAACCAAGCTTTGAAGATTATCACGGCTAATGCTTCCAAACTCTCTACACGCACAAAGCTGAACAGTAATCTTCACTCTACAAGTTTTGCTAAACCACCAAACTCTGATACTCTATTAGCGTTTAGCATCTTAGTATTCTAAGCTTCATTTGTGTAAACATCACAGTTGTGATATAGTTTTTGTAGAAAACATTCATACACACTTGTTCATTCCTTTGTAAGAAAGTGTTGCCTTGACAAACCGGATTGTGGTTTGAATCAAGAAGGTTTTAGCAGTTGCTAAAGCAGATTTGTATTCAGTTGAATATAGTGAATTAAGACCTCGTTGGAGAGAGGCGAAATCACCTTGAACGGGTGGACTGGAGTAGTTTGAGATCAAACGAACCAGGATAAAAATACCTTGTCATTTGCTTTAAGTTTCCAGTTTTACAATTCAACCCCCCCCCCCCTTCTTGTGTTTTTCACCCCTTCAGTTTGGTGATGGAACCGGAAGCCATTGTAAAGGTTTGGTGAAAAGTGGTCAAGATGATTATGATGTGTGCAAGCTATCTTGAACACTGTCGAGCAGTTACTAAAAACACCACTTTTCTTCCATCTTATATATGATTGAAAGTAAAATTTTGGGGGGGCATCTGTTAGCCTAAAAATTCTAGCTGAAGGATTAGACAATGAATGATAGAAACAACGTTGAAAAATGACTAAGTATTTAAAAGACCCAGTCTTCGACTTTCTAGTCATGTCGACCAAGATGATGCGACTAACTTTCTAGGCTTGGTTTGAAAGAGTCTCAGGAACATATCAACAAAATTATGATTACTCTCTTTTCAAAACATATCTAGAATCTCAAAAAGGTTTACAAAAAGTAAACCTTCAACAAAGGGTTAAGTTTGACACATTGATCAGATGTTGAGGACTTAGTATATTCTAATCTAAGAGAAAGTAAAACCAAGGATGTCTTGACAACCCTATAGAGGTAAGTAATAAAATCTAGACGGAGGCTGTTAGGGGGGTTTTCAGAGGCAGTTATCAGAATGATTATTGGTTTGCAATAGTTCAAACACTAAAGACGCATGGAAGTAAATCAGTAGATCGAAGCCTACATAAGAGGATGCATGTGGAGAAAACTGTTGTCGAAGATTAACATTATATTAGTATATAAGTCGATCTCTGTGTTGGGATCAAGGGTCATAAAACTCATCAAGTATTCTCTATAGAACTAAAGTATCCAAGTCATAGAGAGAAACAATTTGTGAGAAAATGTAAGAGTTTGCTTCCTCTCTTTTATTTTCTTTAAGTCGTTTATAGTTGAAACATTTACTTTATGACATTTATCAAGCTTTTTCTTTACCGTCTTCATCCCAAGCTTATTTTAATTAAAGTTTATACCTAGTTTTTTATTATCCAAACATTTAATCCCAATCACAAACACATTTCCTTGTACTTTATTGCATGAATTGTCCTTGAGATTTTTTCAAGTTTAATCTTTTAAGTGAACTAAAATAGTAATTATTTACTAAAAATACCAGTAAACATGATGATAACAGTGAGTAGGTGATGGTGATGAGGAAGGTGTGACCCATGTTAGTTTTACTTGGGTCCCATATCGGGCGCCACTGTATTGGTCAAAAAGTATAGGTGTGTGTGTGTGTGTTCCCCCTGCAAGGGATGGAAGACTCAGACGTCTTTGTAGGTATATTAAGTTGTATGGTCGTTAATTAAGGTTTGCTCATGACGAAGAGAAGCCTTGTACAATGATGTTTTATGGTGGTTTTAGGAGTCTTGGTCACATAAGGTGAGAGGCTTTTAAGGTGATTGGCGTGCTTAGATATAAGCATATAGGGTATGGTCAGCATGCGTTATGACCTTGTTAATCATTGTGCTTTTTAGGTGTAATGATTTGTCTTCTTCCCTTGGGGAGAAGAGGGTTTGTAGAGACCTTTTGGACATAGGGTTTGAGTAACCTTGAGTGGCTACAACCGCTCCATTCTAATCCGGATATGGTATTGACCACCTATCTTTCAAGAGTTAGTGAAGACTCATTTTCCCTTGACTAACGTCCTTACGCATCATCAGTACCCTTTGGCGAGTCTTCAAGTCATCGGCTAGGCAATACGAATCTCAGACGAGGGTGCCATAATTTAAGATTTACAATAATATAACACTACAATATTAAAGGCATTACTAAAAATTAATGTCTAACGAATCAATGTCACTTTCTTCAAAAAAATCCTAAAGGTAGGAAAGTTTTTCTCATTCAGGATCCCAGATCTCAATATATGTCAGTCGTGGAATGGAGTTTATTATTGTCACAATATTTTTCTCTTGTAGACTCTTTCATAAAATTAAAAATTTTACAATTCAAAAATAAGTATTTGGGTTATCGTTCTTGTAGAGACTCGTGTGATATAAATACCTTTCAATAAAGTTTACTATTTAGAAGTTTTCACAAATAAAAATTAAATTTTTTATTTGGTTGTTTCATATATATATATATATATATATATATATATATATATATATATATATATATATATATATATATATATATATATATATATATATATATATATATATATATATTACGTTTTTTATTTTTAAATTAAAAGATACTGATATAAAATTATGATATTAACCAACTTCATAACTTCATTAATCAACATTTTATATTTTATTAATCAATTTTGTTTTACTATAAAAAATTAATTTTAATATTTGAGCGTTTAGTAACCAATTTCATAACTTTATTAAGAAATATTTTATATGTTATTAATCAACTTTATTTTACTACTAAAATTAATTTTAATATTCGAGCGCTTATTAACCAACTTCATATCTTCATTAACCAACATTTTACTTTTTATTAACAAATTTTATTTTACTATTCAAAATTATTTTTAATATTTAGACGTTTATTATGTTGGAATAATATAGCAAGTGTGAGTAAGTGGGGAAATAGTCTCACATTGGATAGCAATGTGGAGACTTAAGCATATATAAATGGGAGAACCCACTCACCTATCACCTTAAAATTTTAGGTCGATAAGTAGTGTGTCTCTCACAAAGGTACATAGTCTTACACTATGTATCGATGCTCCTAGTATCTCCCTCCAACATATTAACCAACTTCATCGTTTCATTAATTAATATTTTATTTTTCATTAACCAACTTTATTTTACTACTAAACCATTTTTAATATCATGTATATTAACCAATTTAATCACTTAATTAACCAACATTTTATATTTTATTAACCAATTTTAATTTACTACTAAAAATCATTGTGGTACGGTTAACAATGTGCATGTGTAGGTATTGGTGTAGATAGTGAGTGTGAACCTAGTTTATCTTTTTCTATTATTCAAATATTGATTTTGTGGTCTCTTAATTCAATAAGATAATACTAGCAAGTCTCTTAATTGATGGACACAATAGAAGCTCTTGATACACACAAGTTTGAAATCAAACTTCTGATTACATGCTCAGCATCTTACTATATCCTAACCTAATCAAAACATCATAGGATTCTATAAGGTTACTAAAATCCACAAAAAGTTTAACTTAGCTAGAGTACATACTACAAACACAAGACATTATTCATTCATTACTTTCTGATTTGATACAAAATCCCCAGTTCAAATTGAAACATCACAAGGAAAATCATGAACCTCATCATTCCAAGGATTTATCTCCTTAATTGGATCAACATTCCTTAATGCACGCCAAACAGCAGTATTACACTTAAATCCAGAACCAAATGCAATTTGCCAAACCCTATCACCTTTTCTTATTCTCCCCTTAGCTTCACAATAAGCCAAAACATACCAAACAGAACTACTTGAAGTATTTCCATATCTATAAAGTGTCATCCTTGAAGGCTCAATTTGCCAATCACTTAATCCAAGAACTTTCTGTATCTCATCTTGAACCGCTTTTCCACCAGTATGAATACAAAAGTGCTCAAAACACAACTTAAAATCAGGTGTATAAACCTTCACATTCTTGTTAAAGCACTTTTTAGCTACAAAAGATAAAGCATATTTTAACTGTTCTAACAAAGGTAGAACAGATTTTCCAAGTGTTATGATGTTTGCTTTGAGTGCAAAACCTGCTGCACCCATTAGGTCTTTTGAAAGTGATATTCCTGTGATATTGTTTGTTTCATCTTCTCTTTGAAGGATTGAATTGTAGCAACTGTCTTGCGAACCTTTGTGTGTACGAACAGTGTGTTTAAGGTGATACTTTGAACGCTGATAATCTGAGGAAATGTTTGAGAGTAAGATTGCTGCACCACCTACACGAAATAGACAATTTGATACAAGCATTGATCTGTTGTTTCCTAAGTACCATCCACTGTTGATGTTTTCTGTGCTCACTACTAACGCATATGAGTTTGGATGAACCTATCAATATATCAAATCAAAATTCAAATTAAAATAAACTTTAAAATTAAGAAATTCTAATTTTTTTTTTTACCTAAATAAAGCACTAATAACTATTACAAACTCACATACACAATCCTAAATATCAGGACTGAAACTCTAATAATAACGTTCAACCTAATAATATCATCTTTGTGATTATTTTAAAAAGGAAAATACTACGAAATTATATATATTTGCATGTTTGTAATTATGTTTGAAAGGAAAATACTAATACTAGTAGGGTTGATAATGAGAAATTATTTATGGAGCATTGATTGGCTAAGATGAAGTTGTTTGTAGGTTTAATGTTTGATGAGATGTGGTTTGGTTTTACATTTAAAGCATTTTAGAGTGTTTACCTATACGAAATAAAGGCATCACAGTATCACACTATCATGTGTTTTAATGATGTACTATTGTTAGTTTGTGTTTTATGTACGGTCTATTATAAATGAATATTCCAAAATATACGATAATATATTTTAGTAAAAATATATTTTTCTTCAAATGACCCATCTTCAATTTATTTATAATTATAATTAAAAAAAAATTAAAAACAGTGCTTTACTTTCAATATTATTCAGTAAAATCACATATATTAAATTAACGCAGGTGACTATAAGCATGAAATATAATAACATTAGCCAAAACAAAATAATGCTAATAAAATTGAATAAACATAAAATAAAATAACAAAGATAATCTAACCTGTAGGAGCTGTTTGGCAAGGTCAATAGCTATGAGTCCAGCACTACAACCCATACCACTTAAATTATAACACAAAATTCGATCCTTAAGTTTATAATGGTTAACAACCATAGCACTTAGTGAAGGTGAAGGATTAAAAATACAACAATTTGTTATAAGAATATCAATATCTTCAACCTTCATTTTTGTCTTCAACAAAAGCTCATCAATAGCACCAAAAATCACTGATTCTGTCTCTTTCCTTGCTTCCATCATACAAATATTTGGAGGAATTACCAATAAAGATTCTGGCACATAAGTTTTATCACCAAATCCAGATCTATTCATGATTTTCCTTTGAAAATCTATGCTCTCATCTTTGAAATGCCCTCCACATTTTGATTTTTCTATAAACAAATCCTTACTACAAATGGTTTTAGGAAAAGGTTTATAACATGCAAAATCTACTAGATATACGTTTTTTGAGCATTTCTTTAGGTAAAAGGTTAATATAGATGTTATTAACATAAACCATAGTAAGAGTGAGAAAATGTTGCAAGAGTGTAATAGTGTTTGGATATTTAGATACTCTCCAATGATAGAGAAGAAAGAACTCTTGGATTGAGATAAGAAAAGGAATGAGATTGAAAAGATACTCATGATGTTTTGGCTATGTTCATGGTTCTTGTGTATAGGAGCTTTCCTATTTATAGAAAATGTAATATGAACAAGGAGATATTGAATTTAGGGTTAAAATTTATTGGGTTAAATAAGTTTTTGTTTTCTCTAAATATTTTAAATTTTATTTTAAATTTTTTTAAATAATTTCTTTAAAGAATGATCTTTCTAAAAAATTAAATTTTAAATTTTTAGTCCCTCCTGCAATTTAGCGACGGTTTTTACAACTTAGCGACGATTTTAGTGATGATTTTAGGGACAGTTTTTATTTAGCGACGGAATTAGAGACCATTTTAGTTACGATTTTGTCAGAAGAAATCAAAAGTTAAAAATTAATTTTTTAGGAGGACCATTTTTTAAAAAAAATTTTAGAAAAACTAAAAACGAAATATGAAATATTTAGAGGGACCAAAAACTTATTTAACTCAAACTTATTTATTACTTTTTAAAATCTAAATTTGTGTTACTTTTATTTTTTTGAATATTTAAGTATAAATATTAATGTTTAATTTATCTCATATTATAAAATTAGGTTAAATTAAATTTTTGGTCCCTTAATTTTCATTCCATTTTTTTAAACAAGAAAATTCATTTAAAAGAAGGAAACAAAAGAGGGGAATCAAGACAAAAACCCCTTATAAAGACATCGATTTAAATTTGAGAAAATCAAATTTGTTATTCAAAAAATCTTCCCAAACTTCCTTAATAAATGATTATACTAATATTAAATATCTTGCCTATTTCCAAGGCTTAAAATAACAAGAGCATCGGCACAAGTGTTCTCTTCTCTATACATATGTGTTATCATAAGACTGAGATTTCTGAAATTATACAAGCAATTCAATCAATGACTGTTGATTGACCATTGGACAAGATTTATATTGTGAATCGCTCTAATCATAGTTAATGAGTCCGTCTCAATACGAAGATTGTCCCAATTCTCGTCAAAAGTTATTTCCATTGCCATAATCAACCCCCAAAAATTCAACAAGAAGGATATTGCAATTTACAATGAAGTAGGAGAAAGAACCAATATGGTCTCTAATTAGGGATGGCAAAATGGGCACGGCCCGTTAGGCATACCCGTTTTACCCGCATTTTAGTGCCGTACGGACTAAGAATTTAGACCCTCATCCTCTAATGCGACAGTCTCGTCCCGCCCTATTTTATTCACGCGCTTTTGCAGGCATGATTATTAACATAAAATTTTATATTTTTAAGCCTAAAAAGTGCAGTGCTTGCAGGCTTTTTCCGCTCCGCACTCATTTTTTTGTGGGTTTTTATGGAACGGTCCTAAACAAGATGGACATGTCCGTTTGCCACCTCTATCTTTAATAGAGTTTCTAAATATTACACCGACGCACAAATTTTTTTTTTCTATTTAAAATTCAAATAATTTTGGTCGTCTTCTTATAATTTTGCATTCAAACGTGATGATATTTTCATTTTTGAAGAATATTTAAATATATTTAAACTAAATATGGATTCAAAATTAAAAAAATAATAAATTGCTCCACCAATTTTTTATTAATGTTATTTTAATAATACTAAAAATAAGCCATACTTGTTCTTTTGCCGCATGACATATAAAAGTGCTTTATATTGAGTGGATGTGCACATGCTCTTTATGTATAGGTTACACAATTTTAATAAAGACTAACTACCGAAATTAATTGCTCCCTAATAAAAATAAAAAATAAAAAACATTATTTTGATATCTAATAATCTCAAAATGTTGATCAAATATTTATATTTATAGGACAAATTAGTTCTATTAAGGACTACGAATTTAAACATTATTTAAATATTTTGAGGACCACATTATTATTATTTTAAATTTCTCAGTTAGCATATAGGTCTTCATAGTTTTTGACATTTAATAACACGTTCTTTCTCTTCTTCCCCATCTCTGCTAAGGTGCAGGTACATCACCCAAAACATTTATTGCAAAAATAACTCATATGACCTAAAACAAAGTTGTAAATGTATAATAGACTTAAAATCAAAGTTATAATAGCGTGGATCATTTTATGGGCAAAAATAGTGGGTCCTCTAGTATCTTCTACTAGTGTGGATAATGGGACCTCTTCTTTATGCTTGTTCTCTATGTTATTTGACATTGGAATTTTCCTCACTTTGCTGGTTTTCTATCATTTTTGTTTTTATTCCAAACTCTGTGGATTTTATGTGAGTTCTATTTGCTCTTTAGGTTTTATTTGTAGTTGTTGGTAATCGGTTTGGCTATTTGAGATTTTGTTCAGACTTGTTTTTAAAGTATGTCTCATTGTCATAAAAAAGAGATAGTATTATATGAATGATTTGTAATACTAAAATTTGGATTCATTTAATTAATATGTCAAAACTATAGTTGTTTTTTAGTCACAGACGTAGTCACATTTAGCTAAACCACATAAGCAAACTCAAATATCTTATTTATTGTTTATGATATGTGTTTTGATTTTCTCTTTTGTTATTAATTTATGTTCTAATAATTAGTATTAGACGAGTGAAATTCAAAGTTGCAAGGTTTTATAGAATGGAAAATTCTAGATTGTATCAAAAGAGGACTAAGGATTTGTTTTATCAACAAGATTTACGAATTAAAAGACACGGTGTGAAATGAAACTACCAAACATGGTGGTTAGAGTTGTGGAAAAATATCTCAAAAAAATTTATACATCTATACGTTTAATGTATCATATCATGAATTTAACGTCTCTAGAGACGGGTTATGATAAAATAGAGAGTCGATATATGTCCAAGACACTAAATAACAAACTATTAGCAAAATAATAATATACAGTTTGAAGATGAATGAAAATCTAATTTGCAACAACTTGTCAATACCTTTAACATCCTAATCACCTATTTGATGAGGCTTGGGGGTGATGGTTGATGATGAAGACAAGACAATTATATTGTTGTGTTCCTTACTAGTTATTATGATCACTTGGTGAGCACTCTTACCTATAAATAAAATTTTTGATGTACACTACTATAAATATTATATTTCATGTTAACGTTTTCACCCTGGCTAATGGAAAATCAAGGTCAAATAATCTAGAACGCGCCATTTTTTTAGATTATTACTTATCCCTCAGTTTTTAAAAAGACCGATATCAAATATAGTTTAGGGTCTTAGCTTTGGTTCCCTGCTCCTGCAAATGCTATGTCTTATTTAGAACCAAAAAGGCAACATATTTTATAATTAATCTTTTCCCTCAGTTTAAAGGAAAACCGACATGAAAAGTTTATTGCTATAAAAACAAAATTATCTCACCCTAATACATAACAACCCTAACATATATCTCTCAAACAAAACCCATATCCTCCTTATATTTTCATTAAAAAACAAAGAGGATGACGCTTAAGTGAGGTTGCAAACTCGTCATTAACACAAGCTTCATCATCTTTGTACTAGTCTCACATCAACTTCTTTCTCTTGGTATTATTTTAATTGCATGTGTTAGGGCTCTTGTTCGATAATGTGACTCCTAAGAAACGAGTTGAAGCTCTAAACACATATCATCCTCAATACGAATATGATATGTGCTTAGGTCTCTCGTTCTATAATTGCCAAAATAAAAGACCCAAATCATTATTTTTCACATTTTCTTCACAGATCTGGTACATAAAATATCACTTCTGAAGCCCATGTAACATTTGAGTTTATTATATTTAATGCAAATTGCTTATTTCACTAACCTCTCTTTGAACATATAACCTTTTAAAGTGATTTACTTAATGATGATAGGTAAAATTAAGTTATATTTGAAAAAAATGTTATATTAATCAAAGTTTTTTAGAATCTTTCAACTTATTATTCCTCTCTCTTTTTTTATTGTTAAAATTTCTCTGTATGCGTCTAGTTTTTGTTCAACTTCTTTTTCTATTTCATTTTACAAAGCATCAAATTTTATGCTTTTAAGAAAGAATTAGTAGAGGAGAAAGTGTTGAATGAAAAACTTGAAACATATAAAGAAATTTTAACCATAAAAGAAAGAGACAGAATAATAATGAGTTGAAAGATGCCAAAAATTTTTTTATCAGTGTAAGTTAATTTTCAAATATAACTTAGTTTTTTGTTTTATCATTTTCTAAATCAATTTTCAAGGTTACATTTTTGGTTAGGGTTTAGTGGAATAAGCAATTCTCATTGATATAATAAATTAAATCATGTTTAACATGTCGGTTATATGTCTAAACTGAGGGGGAAAATAGTTTAACATGTATGTTATTTTCAAAATTGAGAGGAGAAAATATTCCGCCATTTAGAAATTCCAAAAATGATCTCACTAGGGATCAAACTAGTGACCACTTTACATATCACATGGCGGTTTAGCATTAACCGAGAGTTTATGAGGCACACTTTTTATGTTGCCATTCGTTCCCTTTCCAGTGTAACAGAGGTAAAAGTCATTTGGCATCCGAAGTAAGATATCTTACTTGTAGTAGTGGTAATTATCGTTACACTCTTCTCTCATTTTCAAAGGGGAATAAATATAGAGAAATAAACTCAGGGTGAAGAAGGTATGCATGTGAAAAAGGTCTAAGATTGTGAACGGAACAAAGCTGAATCATAATTTAGAAGTAAGATGTCTAAATCCAAGAATAGAATAAGAACTAAGTTCAGTTGTTACAAATAGATTGGTCATTGGAGGAATGATTGTAGAAAAAAAGGCATTCATCAAGTTTTTGCAAACATGGTCCAAACGGATGACTCTTCAAATTAAAAAGATATAATGTTTTTCATCTACCGAGTATACATAAGCACGAATTCTTAACACTATATGCTTTTACCAAATGATGTTGAATAAGGAGTGATTCACCACATTCAGTTTAGGAAGTTTTGGATTTTTTTATTTAGGATTCAATAAAGCGTGTTTTATCACTAGAATTAGAAAAATTAAAATTCTTATGGACAATGGTGGCATTCAAAAGTTTAATGATGTCATATATATTTAAAATTATGTTTCTGAGGG